CAGCTGAAGTAATTCATAAATCATCACTGCCACTAAAACTAGAAGACCAGATAGCACAAATCAGCTTTTTTGTTGATGTTGTTTGGGAGAACCTGAAGTGTCTGAATTTGTCCCAGAGTCTGAGTCAATAAAACAGTATTAATTTTTACTCACACGGTTGTCCATGTCTTCTAGCAGCCTTGCAAGATAATTCTTAAACAGCCGCAAATCCTTGTCTGTCAAAGAATACACTCACACTTCAAACCCTGATCACTGAAACATTGTCTTTTGTGTATTACTGCAAAATACTCACATCTCCTGTTGTACTTAGAACCTAATTTTTTTTTTTTTATTTACTTTAACGCAGTTAGAAAATAGATATTTCCGTGAGCTTTGGATCAGAAGAGCATTAATCTGCTCATTTTGCTTGCACAAATGTAGTCTCCAGAACCCTTGTGAGATGTGTAAATGAAGGTGCAGTGGTACTGGCTGTGGATACATGCAGAAAAACTCAGACATGGTACAGGGATCTTATACCTCCAGCAGCACATACAAAAGGTAGAGAGAGGAGTTACTTCCAAGGCAATAACATGTGGCAGTGGGCAAGCCCAATCAAACTTAATATTGCTACACATGGGTATAAAAAATTTATAAGACCAGTCTTTTCCATTGAAACTAGAAGGAAGTAAAACAGGTTTTCCTGTGTTCTTTGTTATTCTGGAAAGCGTTGGCAGCAGATGAGAGTGACTGAAGGAAATGAGCAGCTCCTCTGATTGCCAAAATATAGGCTCACTCTTGGCGTTGATAGAGTTTTTAGGCACAGAAACAAACTTAATGTCTGGAGATTTAAAAGCTAACAGGTGAAATCCTGGCTCAGCTAAAATTACAGTGTGTTTTAATACCGACTAGAGAGGCAGAATTTTTCCCACCCTTCCTATAGTTGTCACTATTTTCCCTTGAAGGACTTGAAACATCCTTCCAAAGGTGACTTGTAAAAGACCAGACATCCTGGAAACCAGCCTGATCTTAGGTTAGCTTTGCTGACTTACACATATGAGGATTAAGCGATGTAAGATAGTAAGTAAGAGTAACCACACAGTTCATTCTTCATTTAACTTTCTCACATAACAAGGCCTTTAATTTCCATTATTAAAGGCTTTTCCTTCATTCAGCACTAAATGTAAAAGCTTTGAGACTTCTCACACACACCCAATAAAAATGAAATTGTCTCTAAAATAAGCTGATGAGCTCAGCTGAGAATTCACTACCGAAGTGTCATTTGTTGCTATTGTAGCTCTTCTGCTTCATCATAACAGTCATCCCTATTAACAGTTCCTGTACCTAACCGCAGAGTGATTCATGCCATCTTCACAAAGGTTAGCAGAGCAGTGAGTGGAAGGAGAAAGGCAATGAAGTAGTTCTGAGCCACTGGGATTACTCCTTCAAACGGCATTGGTCCAGAGAAAAAATATTGCCATTGACAAACTCCTCCAACCTGAAGTATAATTTGACATAAATAAATTCCAGCCTACAACTCCAATGAAGATGGATGATTTTGGTTACTACTGTTTTTTATCCTCAGAACTGCTCTTTTTCAGCTCTAATTAGGCAGTATAATGGGTGCCTACCTAAAGACAGAGGAGGTACAGGTGAGGACTCAGGACTCCACAGTCCAAGATTTCAGCTGTTGGCCTACAAGTTCCCTGAAGAATAACACCGCTTAGATAGATGAAAGCTAAAATCAAAACTACCAGGAATGAATAATTTCTCTCCTCACATAATTTCTAAGAAGGTTTCATCCCATGAAACATTTTAATATTTTAACTGTTTATTCAATTCAGGATGAAAACACATGTGAAAAAGTGATTTTGGTTCTCCTTCACTTATTGTGTTTGTGAGCCAAATACAACTCACAGACATTCCTCATAAAGTTGGAGGAATTTATATTGACTCTGGTGGACTTTCTCCAGATTCCAACTGACATAAATGAAAGTAAGTTTTCAAAGGCTGGGTGTCTGACATGTCTATCAGCAATTAAAAACAGTTAAGTGAAAAGACACAGATTGCTATCAGTGATGAATGGAACTATTTACTTTTGACATGAAAGATCTCTCATTAGAGATGGCCAAAGCCAGTAAAACAAATCTTATATTTCCTTTCCAACCCTTAGTGCTGAAACAATCCTCTTTCTTCACTATCTGGACAGTGACAGGTCCTCAGCAGCTCCTGTGACCACTCACTTCACCCCCATGACATAACGTGAACTTCCCCAGTGAGTTCAGTATTAGTTTCACTGAGCTCACAAATTGCCTCATCTTTCCCAAGGGTTGTCCTGTCTCTTGTTCCAACTGCTTTCATTGTGACCAAAGCAAGAGTAGCCCTCAGGAGACTTGATCCTGCATTTCTTCTTCTCCTCCCCTCATTCTGGCTGTGAGATGCCTCCAACCCTCACCAGTAGCTATTGTAGTGCAGCTGGTATTGTAGTGCAGGTGGTAGATTTTACATTTCAGGTCTAGAAGGTGTGCCTTCACTGGATGATGGCTTTTTTTTGGTGCAAAAATGTGGAAGAATCTTTTTGGGTCAATGGCAACTACAAGATTCAGAAGTTCTGGCTGACACAAAGAACGTTGAAGGTGGTCTAATGCATTGAAGAAACAAGTGATGTTAAATTAAAACCTCCAGTTTTCTCATATCAGAACAATTTGTTTAAATTGCTAATGACTGAACAGAACATGCACTGTTACCTGTGTCAAGACACAGGAAGAGCAGGGTACTCCTGTGATGAGAGATAACTTGAGAGGGGAAGGCACCCCAGTGCAGCCAGCAACCTCATTGACAGGAGGTTCTCATGAGAGAAGCTCAGTGACAGGGTCTGTCAACAGCCCTGGATGTGGTGAGAGGATGAACCACATCAAAGGTTCAGCAAGGGAGTCCCATCAGGAGCAAAAGAGAAGTGACTGAACCCAGGACTGTAGGCAAGACACAGTGTGTCACAGAATTTACTCATATCACTGTATGTCTGTGAGAGTGTATAACACTGTATGTCTGAGGGATCCATGCAGGAGACCTGCCATGCAGGTCTGATGTCTGCTGAGTAAGAAGGGTTAGACACTGGGGTAAGCCGTAATCTCCTGGGATACCGGTCAGGACAGTTAAGGCTTATTAGTGTCCTCAGATTCCTGATAACTGGTAGCAAAGAGTGGTCATAAACCTATAGGATTGGTTTTCTTGGCATTTGTGGAACACAGACCACCTATTGGTTGTGTGTAAGTCCAACCAAGAATCAACACATTTTGTTCAGTTGCTCACCGTTCCTAGACACTCAGAGAAGTTCAGCAGCATACACGAATGTTGCCTTCAAACACATAAAACGAGCTGGCAAAGATTAGGGAGTGAAAAGGAAAACTCTTCCACTCATCCAGTGTGCCATGTTAGTTACTAGAATTCCATAATGACTTTACTCAAAGGGATGTTACTAGCATCGCTGCCAGTTTGAGTGAGAAGTCTTGTTTTAGTAGTTGGAAGAGGCAGGAGAGTAGATATGAACAGCCTAAGGAACTTGGAGAACGTAAGAAATTTACAGTAAGGAAGGTCTGAAGCCGTAAGTCTGAAGCCGTAAGTCTGAGGCAGCTCTGGAATACTTCACCCAGGTGATAGATTCCTCAGCTGATGTAAATCAATGTAACCCTGTTGCCTTGAAATATTCAAGCAGATGCTCAGGTGAAGTAAAGAAACACAGTTTCATTATAGTCAATATAGTCACTCTAATTTAGATTAGTCTGCCCACAGACTGGAGTTGCACGGATCAATTTAGAGCTGAGAATATGGACTGCAAGGCGTAGGTAAACAAACTTTAGAAGGACTAAAGAGATGAAAGATTTCTCTTAGAAGATGTAGACAAAAACTTTAAAAAAGGACCACATTTTCTGAAGAGATGAGCAAAAATAGACTGTTGAACTGTATGAAATGGGTGAAATTTCAGAGCCATATGCCTGTCCATCAGGCAAAAAATCATTTGCTATTTAAAGGTAGGAAAAAATGTCTCATCAAGAGCACAGAAGAAATTACTATAATGTGTCTAAATAGTCTTGTTGACTTCAACAAAAAAATTGTATTCATCTGCTGAAGGCACCATCTCTCTGCAGATTTGGCATTTGGTGTCACCAGTTCTCAAGCTGAACTTTGCAGCTGGGACTTGTCATCCTAATCTGAAAGTTTCAAAATACATTTTGAATGGAAGAGGCTCGGCAACTGTCACTGCTTGTGCTCAACATTGATTCACTTCTTGCTGATGGGACATAGGACACTTCCTGTCATAATCTCTTGAAACAACTAAACATGATTTAGGGAGCAGAGGAAATTGAGCCTGTTGTAGTAAAGTGTAGAATTAGGTTTTGGACTGCAAAATTGCCAGCTAGGTTAGAAAACTCGGAAACCTATCTCTTTCCTTGCTTATCCTGTCAGCGTCTCACCATGCCATTCCCATAAACTCCAAAACTCACCTTTTCCGTGAATACTTCATAAAGCAGGTTTTTGTGGGATTTTTCTGAGTTCTTTTAACATCAATTCTATCAGTTTCTGCAAGTTTTTTTCTGCTGCTTGTTTTTGGTTTTTTTGTTTGTTTGTTTTTGTTTGTTTGGGGATTTTTTTAGGCCAAAGAGCCCAATAGTTGACTAGTTGAGTCAGTGGTGTTACTTGTGCTTAAATACAAAAAGTCTTCGTTGCAGAATAAGAAAGTAGTTATTTTGCTATTGCATCTGAAAAGTTATTTTGCTATTGCATCTGAGGAAGGTAGCTGAATGGAGCAATGAAAACCAAACAGGAGGCCATCAAGAAAAGGGGCAAGCTGAAGTTGACAACAACATGAATGCTTTGAAAAAAAAGAGGTCTGTCCCAAACCAAAGCCTAGGAGAAAGACCTCCTCTAGACCTCCAGAGACCGATTCTCAGGACAGACAAAGTGATGATGTTAAGGTGCTCGTTGGAAGTTTAGCAGAACTTGCGTCCAAGTAAAGTGACCTGATGAGGAAGTTTTCCTGCATTATAGATGCCTTCCTGAAGGAACAGATAGCTGAGACATCGCTTGCGGATAATCTTATGGATCTTTCAGAGGGTCTTGAATTTTCCCCTGTGACCTCTTTGGCAGCTTTGCCTGACAGCTGTAGGCTTATAGATGTAGCAGTTTCCAAGAGCTTAAGTACTGAAGGCAAGAGAATGCCAGAGAAATCCTCTGTTTGGCTGGAAAGCTCCCCGATACTTAAAAAAAAAAAACCTGCAGAGGAAATACCTGGGGAAACAAACTACATTGAGTCAAGTTTTCAGAGCTTATCTTCACAGGAACCTGAGATCAGACCACTACAGGACTTGACCAATGCCAGGACTTTGTCTTCCCCCACCCTGGAAGACGCGTCAAGGTACTCATCAAGGCGGAGACGGGACCCACCTTGCTATGCAGAGCCAAGACTCAACAGCAAACTGAGGCGGAGTGACCCATTTACAAGCACAGATTTCCTCCACTCCCCTCACCGCAAGCCCAAAAAGAAGAGACCTGACAAAGCCAAGAAAATGACTAAGATGATTGAAGAGGACAAAGAACAGCTTCCTAAAGGATGTCTCAGTGCTGAGGCAGGCTAATAACAATGGGAAGAGACATGGAGCCAGAAGTAAAGTAGTGGTTGAGCAGGGATCCCCCAGGATCCTAATGGCTTATGCATCTTCACTAGAGTATCTCTAATGTTTTGCATAGCTTTTTTCCTAATTTTAAAGTATAAATTAAATCTCCTATGTGGCCAGTTTAAAAAAAAATAAAAAAATCCCCACCATAAGAGGGATACAGATCTGTTGGAGCATGTTCAGAGGAGGCCACAAAGATGATCCAGGGGCTGGAGCACCTCTGTTATGAGGACAAGCTGTGGGAGCTGGGATTGTTCAGTCTACAAAAGGGAAGACTTCAGAGGTACCTAATAGCTGCCTGCCAATACCTGTAGGGA